TTCCCACAAAATACACAAATATATGCAAATTCAGTCTATACCTGTGAGAAAATAAAGAAAAACAAAAGTAACACTTCATTCAACAAAAAAAATTAACTATAATACTTCTTTACCTTTTTTCCTAATGTTTTAACAAATATATAAAGCAAAAACCTGTACCAACATTCACAGACTTACACTCTCACAGTACTAATTAATTTGTTATACAATATTAACACTGAATGCGTGTGTGCGTGTGTGTGTGTGTGCATGTATGTGTGAGTGTGTGTGTGTGCATGTTCTTTGTGTGTGTTTGTGTACGAGTGTGTACGAGTGTGTGCGAGTGTGTGCGTGTGCGTGTGTGTATAAAATCAAATCCACAGTTAACAACACCCACATTTAACATCAGATTTATAGAGCAATACCCAACTAATACTTCAAAAGGATGAATATATCTAACAGTATAATTTTTTAACAAACCAGGTTCAGATATGCAGTTCTCTTCATCTGAACGATCTATGCACTGAGGTGTTCTGTCACAACGCTGATAGCCTGGGATACAGTCACCATTCTACAAGTCCACTCATCAGGACCACATGCTATGTGTATAGATGAAAATACATCCTCGTGAACAATGCAGGTTTTTCTTTGTTTCCCATTAGAGTTAACAAGTAATAACAATAATATAACAAATATGTAATGAAAACTGTCTACAATATTCAATATTCTATGCAATAAAGCTTTTTTTCTGGCATAAATTGCATGTCTACAAAACATATATCTGTACCCAAATATATGTTGTAACACTCAGCAATCCACGTTCTAGAAACCATTTATCACAAATTAGAAAGAAACCAACCAGGTCTGCAGTTCTCTCATCTGAACCATCAGGACACTGAGGCACTCCATCACAACGCTCATTTCCTGGATACAGTCATTATTCCCGCATGTCCATTCATCCGATGACAAGCTTGTGACAAGAATGAATGTATTTTGTAAACAGCATAATCTCAGTAAACGCTGTATAGACCAATGTCTATTGCTTTTACACATTCTAATACAAAGCAGCTGAGCTTTCCTAATAATCTTATTATTTGTATAACCATATCTAGGACCAATACTTGTTCTGCTCCAACAGAAAAAATGTACATATACAGAACACAAAATGTTTATTGCTTTTGTATATTTGGAAATCACTTGACATTTAAGCAGTTTTATTAAGTGCAATATAATCCTTTTAGATTATGTAACTATCAAAAACAAATACAATTTGCAAAACACACAAAAAGTCTTTTGAATCCTCAACTTTACAATCCAATTTATTTTACCAAACCTCCCAAAAAAGCAAAAATTCTATACACTGCTTTTCCTCCTTTGAGTTCCTCAAATGATCAATCCACACACAATACAGTCTACATGCAGAACTCAAATGGTAATAAATAACACTGATTATATAGTATAAAATTTGTAACTGCAAATGTGAATGTAAGGTTATTAATTTATACTACAATAGATCTTGGTTTTGAAAAAGGATAAAAGAATTAAAGTAAAACAAGCTCTAAACACTAGCTTTTACGTCATAAAATTTTGCAGTTGCTTGCAAAAATGCTGCTGTTTCAATTAATTACTCATATATATAACACTCTTCTGAATTAACAGTAAGTCACAAGTGAATGCAATGCTAGCTTCTTTTTGATGCTGAAAAAGTCTCAATTTCATGCCATGAAAATCTATCCTTCCTTTCAGTATCCATAAAAGAGTATGGAATCTGACTACAAGAACATATGTTAATGGTGCTTGCTCTAACATCAAATGCATATCTTCACCTCAAAGCATGCTTACCTCTACAGTCAAGTTCATCTGTGTAGTCTCGACAGTCATCTCGACCATCACACCTTGCCTCTATTGGTATGCATGAATTATCTCCACACATTCCACTCCAATGGCCCACACCTACATGCAAATAAGTATCACATGCAGAGACTATTTTCTAGATTTATAATTTATGTTAGTAAACAATGAGAAATAATTTAATGTAAATCTGACAATAGCATGATCCCTAGCAGGAAAATTTGTAAGACTTGTGGATACCATATGCTTGTAATTCTTTTGTTAATCCTTAGTATCCAGAAGATCTATTGCATCACTAGAGCTTGTCTGAGGGAATTTTTGTACCTTCTAAAAAGGGAAAAATTACTAAAGCTAATTGTGCAAAAATAAGTTTTCCATTTCATTACACAGTTACAGAATGAATATAGAAATGTAACTTTTTGAGGTCTGGATAAAAAGGATTAAAGAATGCAACTATACCAATTTTTAATCATTCCATAAGCAAGCACTGCACCAGTCAGCAACAGAGCTCTCCTAACCAGTGCAATCAATGTATTGTGAAGCACCATAACAGCATAAACATCTGAATGGTACAGAGATTAAAACCTAATATTTTAAATCTTCTGATCTAAGACCCAAACAAACTTGTTCTAAAATTCTTTGGATTAATCTTTTCTTAATTCTATACAGGAGATATTAACTTGTTTTGCTAGAGATATCATTTGATCTATGTCTTTAAATATTAACTATGCATAAAGCAATAATAATTTAATAAAGATATACGATTCATAATAAAGGTTCCAAGCCCACAATTTCTTGCATCCAAAAAGAGGAAAAATTACAATTCATACATCGAACTTTGTATGAAAATTCAACATTAATGATGACTCCCATTAATGTACAAATTAAATCACATGTTGTTCAACTGCTCTATCAGTCCCACTATATCTCCACCCCACAAGATCCCCTTACCTTCACAATTATCTTCATCAGTATAGTCTGGGCATTCATAACGACCATTACACCTTCCCGTAATTGGTATGCATGATCCATCCCCACATCTCCATTCTGATGAACTGCATACTGCATGCAAGGTAAACACCAAAGGCAGACAATACTATATTTTTACAATCAGATTATAAAAATCTTTATGGAAATGAATTCCATTTGTATTTTGACAGATAAAAATGTAGTTCTTAGCAGTAAGAAATCACATGGTCTATAAAAAAAAAAAAATGCAATGTAATTTCACAATCTATGCTGGTAAGCTTTTACTACATGCATAAAAATAATCATGAAGTGTTTAATAACAAGCTGCAGCAAGCATCATTGATTCTGATTAGTAATCATAAATAAAAGCGTTAAAATAACAATATAATACAATATGGTTCACCACAGCTATTACCTTTCCAAATAACATTCATGGCTAACTATCAGAGACTTCAAATATTACCTTACAAAATTGGAATGGAAGTTTGTTTAATCTTTAATTGGAATAATAGTTATGTTTCATTGGCTTAATCTTTAATTCATTAAAAGTCTTACCTGAATCACAATTATCTTCATCACTGTAGTCAGGACAATCATATCTACCATCACACCTGTATTCATTTGGTATACATGAACCACTGCTACAGGTCCATTGATCTGACCGACAAGCTGCAAGCAAAAAAACAAAAACAAAAACATGCAATCATGCATTTAGTAAGCAACATGCAGTCCAGCCATTCACAACTGTATGTGGAAATTATGAGAAACCTGAATCACAATTAGAGCTTGTTAGTGATAAGCTAATAATAACCTGATATGTTAATGTAACAAGGTGCATTCTTTCTGACTATCACTGACAAAAACCTTACTTTCATGGTTCTCCATTTCTATTCATTAATTTTCTCTTAGATGCCAAGTCTATACCATCACATCCTTCTGCTTTTAACAAACAACATTTCCTGTTCCACATATTTTCACATTCTAAAGTACAGTTACATCATAAACATTTGACAATCTAATCATCATGAAATAGTAGAATCCACTTTCACATCTGTTTCCATCATATCAGTAGAAGAAAATTATAATGTTTACAGTTGCACTAAATATATGAATAACCTTTCAGTTTTGGACACTAACAGAATGACATGTCATATGGTTGCTTTGTACATATATGCACATACATACATGTGTATATATATATATATGTACATATATATATATATATATATATATATATATATATATATATATATATATAATATTATATATATGTATATATATGTATATATATTATATATATATATATATGTATATATTATATGTATATATATATATATATATATATTATAATATATATATATATAATAACATATATTATATAATATTATATTATATATATATATATATAATATATATATATATATATAATATATATATATATATATATATATATATATATATATATATATATATGTATATATATATGTATGTATATGTATATATATGTATGTATATATATAATATAATATATATATATATATATATTATATAATATACAAACATACATAATTATATGTAATACATGTGTGTGCATATATGTATGTATATGTATATATGTATATATGTATATATATATATGTATATAATATGTATATATATATATATATGTATATATATGTATATATATATGTTATATTATATATACATATATATATATATGTATATATATATGTATATATATATGTATATATATACATATATATATATATATACATATATATATACATATAATATAATATATATATATATATATATATATATATATATATATATATATATATATATAATTACATGAAGTTTCAAGAAGACTACTGAGTGTATCAAGTACAGTTCAATATGAATAATATCTTTCTCCGCAAGTTCTTGCCGAGATGTCTTCCGGTGTACACTTTACGTCATTTCTTGCTGAGTGATCAATCGGTATCGGGAAATATCTGCAGGACCGTTTCTTCCGTTTTCAAAAACCCTTTCTGCTCTCTTGCGTTTGATCTTCGCGTACCAACTGTTTCCTTACCTCACCGTAGACATAAGGACATGCATACACAAATATGTACAATTAAACGCCTCTATAAGAAGGGGGATTAAATGAGCTCTACAGAATAACAAGTTCCGCAACGAAAGTGGTTTCACGAAGTACTCACGGCAACCAGATTCATCAGATTGGTCCCTGCACTGGGCGAGGCCGTCACACCGCTGGGAGATGGGAATGCAGTCTCCGTTCTTGCACCTGTATTCCCCAGGCTGACACATTTCACCAGCTGCAAGGGCGAGAGCTTTGTTATAGCCGGAGTTCTGTGGAGTAATGTCATGCGGCTTTGCACAGAAGGAATTAGTTATCGGGAGGAGTGAGGGTTAAAGAAATGAAGGCGTTTGTTATACCCGTTGGTCGATTGTGGTATTGCGAAATCATCGTTAAATTCAATAACGTGTATAGTTTAATGAATCCTAAACATGCATGCATTATTAAAATCATTAGTATATTTTATATTTATGGTTCTAATGCATAAGTTTATTTGGTTACACCGGGAAAGAAGTACCGTAGATCCCTTAGAAAGTAAGATAGAGAGTTGTTGAAGAATTCCGCATTTTCTAGTCTTGTGATATTAGCTGATCGTACACCGTGTCTTAAACCCCGGTATTGGAAGATTTACGAAATTACAAATGAACATAAAATCTATGCGTGATACCCAGGACAATAAAATCAACAGATCTGGCAGTCGTAGAAGTCAAAGATTGTGTCATGTGTCGCGCATCATGATCACCAAACGCGCCGTCGTACCTAGCAAATATTTTTCAGAGAAACTGTATCAATTGTTCTTATCCTTTTGTATTTTCTTAGCAAACATAAATAAACCAAGAGGTATAAAATAAAAGACAATTAAAAGGGTGGAAATGAAACATAGATAAAAGCAAATCAATAAATAGCAGTGACGTTAATAATCATTGTTATCAACAATAACAACCAATCTCATTATCTTTTTTAATGACTAACGAGATAAAAGATTATAATAAGAATTTTTAAAAAATGTTTAGAAAATGTAAGTGAACGAATAACAATAAAATGAAATTAGGAGAAGCATGAAATACTTACGACAGCCTTTCTCATCCTCGCCATTGGGACAATCTTTGATCCCATTACACATTTTGTCAGAACCAAGACAAGTGCCATCACTTTCACACTCGAAACTCCCTGATCCTTCACAGCCTGAGTGGTGGATTAGGGTTTATATTTCTTTTCCGACAAAGGTAAAAGTATTTTCCCAATATATCTTCAAATCTAACACCAAACGGTTAACAAATAAAGTACAGTGCATACCGTATATGTGGAAGTATATATATAAATATATACATAATATGTATAATATATATAAATATATATAGATATAGATATCCCAAATCAGCTTTATCTCATTACTTCAGAGAAAGTGACTTACACTCTAATTCATCGGTATCACAATCGGTGACTCCGTCGCAGACGTTTTCTTTGGGAATGCAGTGCTTATCGCCGCAAAGGTAAGCATCTTCGGAACATTCTGAACCAGAAATGTACATTTGCTCATATCACAGGAGGCGATATCCAGAATCATGTAAAATTAATTTGGCATTATATATGATTTCGGGTTTCCCTTCCCCTCCCTTTTTGCTTCACTCCCTCGACTGACAAAAGCGGGAACCAACCTGAGCAGTTCACTTCGTCTGACTGGTCGTCACAGTCGTGCTCGCCATCGCACCGCAGATTCTCGGCCACACACTGGCCGTTGAGGCAACTGAACTCGCCCTCGAACATGCTGGCGGCAGACTCGTGCATGTTAGCATGGAGGCTAATATGTGTTGCTTAGGGTGAGGGAAATGATAGTCGATTCTACACGGAACCCGACAAAGGACAATTTCGGAAATATAGTGTATGGGTGTGTCCGCGTGTGGGTGTGTCGTGTTCGTGTATGCGTGTTCGTATACATTGCCTTTTGAAAACTGCTGGATTTGAGGTGTGGACAGTGAGGTGGTATAACTTGCAACAGTAATAATGCCGAAGGAAAGTTGAGAGTAAGTCTGCACAGCATGCGAAGGTCACAGTCTAAAGCGTGGCATGCCCGTGACAGGAGAGGAAAGTAGGTTGGTGGTCGGTAGACGTATTTTCCTTGTGTTCGTGCATGTACGCGCATGTATTTCTGCATGCGTTCGTGTGCAGTGTGCGTCCACAGGTATTCATGTGCTTGCGTTCGTGTGCATGTGCAAGAGTGCGTGTATCTGCGTGTTTATACTTCAAAAGAAGAAGGAAACAGTAACAGAAAAGACGACATATGCAGTAGGTTAGACACGTGACACGGACACGAGTGCAACGGCCTCCGGCTAAACCAACGCGAAGGCTGCTGCTCTCCACAGACGCTGCTTGGAACTCGCCCACAGACTGAGGGAAAAACTTACGAAAAAACTCACGCACACACTCTCGGGGAAACTACTTCAAAAGCTTAAAACGGTTCGTAACCGCCCCCATGAACTACAGAAGAAACGGTCAGTTGTATGCTGGGTTGGGTTGAGTGTGTGTGTGTGTATGTGTGTGCGTGTGTGTGTGTGTGTGTGTGTGTGTGTGTGTGTGTGTGTTGTGTGTGTGTGTGTGTGTGTGTGTGTGTGTGTGTGTGTATGTATGTGTGTGTGTGTGTGTGTGTGTGTGTGTGTGTGTGTGTGTTGTGTGTGTGTGTGTGTGTGTGTGTGTGTGTGTGTGTGTTGTGTGTGTGTGCTCAAGTGTATATTTATGCGTGTACATGTGAGTGTGTACGCATACTCCAAAGTAATATCCCCACTTCACATGGGACTGAGTGAGCGGGAGGTGAGTCCTTCCGAGAACTCACACTAGGTTGTCTACAGAACTACAGGCCTTTTTGTAGCATCCGAAACCCTTACCACTTTGGTACATTGGTGTTGTCTCATGATCGTTGCAAAACATCGAAGTTTGTACTGACATACAAAGTTTGAAAAAAGGAAAAGTTATTTTTTTTTAATGTCTCAAAAGAAAAGTTACTAGAAAACCATTAAATTACTTAATATGATGGTATGATTTTGATTACACTTTGGAAGCTTCAATGAATTAGAAAAAAATAGTATCTAACCACAGGGGCGTTATTTGGGGGGCTGGTGGGGGGGACTGCTACCCAAGACTGATTGTCCCCCTCAAGGTCTGGCCTGCCCCCCCCCCTTTTTTTCTTTTTTACTTTTTTGTCTAATTTACCCCTTTGTAGTCTGGTCATAGCTTTAAAATACTCCTAGAAGAGCTAATATGTCAATCTCTTTTTCTCGTAGGGACTCTCAGCGCACCTTGAACTGATTGTGCTCACATCGCTTGCCACCCCCCCCCAAGAAAATGCTGAAAGGATGCCCTTGTGCACCTTATATTGTTTATATACGCCGCTATTCGCTCCGCATGCCCGTAGATACTTTCAAATGTATTCATCAGATTCAGCAAAACATTTTTTTTTCTTTTTTTATTCCATACATTGTACTTCATATGGAAAGTGAAGTTGCTTTTAAGTGTATATCCCAGATTCAGTAAAACATTTTTTTTTTCTTGTCAACTACATTAGTCTTCATTTGGAAAGTGGAAGGTCAGGCAAGTGAACCCAGTGTCCGAATCAGACAGTAATTCCAATGATCACGGGCGTTAACTTGTCTTACTAATTGAATTATAACAAGTAAAGATACATATCCTTTTCTTTGATATATTTCAGCCTATAAGATTATACCATTGAGGTACAGACTGATGCTGAAGACATTCGTCCCACCGAAGTCAATACCACGTCATATGACTCGGACATGATTTTTTTTTCCTTTTCCTTTTCCTTCTTAAATCTTAAATCTTAATTTAAATTTTAAATCTTAAGTCTTAAATCTTACCCGTATCGAATGTATTTGATGTACTGATAAAATATGGACTTTTATGAAACAAAAGAGCGACAAGAAACATTCCACTTTGTAATTAATTAAAATATATATCCTCATCTGAGACTATGTGATATGTATCTCTGAAAAATATCGCACTCTGACTACCCACAGTATTTTATATCGAATCAAGGTAGAGGCACACAAAACTGACACAAACCGAAAAGATGTCTCAACAGGTTCCAATAATGTGCACGTAAAGGGCAAACATGTATCAACGTGTTAGGTTTCGGAAATGCTAAAAAAAAGGGCCTTACCCATCTTGCTTCCGGACGACGGTCAGCTGTAGCACGCTTATGGGTCTTTCTACTTCTACAATGCCCCTTTCCTACAAATATGTGTACACGTTTATACCTTTAGCATTTTGCAAGTAGCCAAGACAGAGGAATTAATCGGTAGATATTTTTTTTACGTAAGGATTATTCATTTATAATAAAAAAAAAATGGCCTGAACTTGTAAATATTCAGTCAGTGGGGCATTAAGGTGATTATTTTTATCATGAATAATCAGTAAATACATGCAAAGGAAATCAGATATGAAGATGTCATTTACGTAAATCGTAAGAAATGGTTTACTGGGAAAGAAAAAGAACTTAAAGTTGCAAGATAATGAAATGAGCAGCGCATAGAAGGAATACTAAGACTAAATAAAGCAAGTAAGCAGACCAAGTCAACACAAAAAGCTGCAAAACTTAATGATGATAATGGAATGGTTATAAGTATGCATTTAAAGATATATATAATTGCGACATGACATCTAAAATATGAGAAAAAAGCTATATGAAATTAAAATATATCAATATAACAAGAATCATCACATAATTACACTGAACATACTTATCAATCGACCTATACCTTCTTAAGATCGGGGAAAAAATGAAAAAAAGGCCGAAGGACGCGTCTTCTTTTCAACCAACAGAAACTGCATCAAAATCATACTCAAAATAACGTAATGCCAGAGTGGACTCAGATCTGGCCTCGAAATATACTCACGACAGTTGACTTCCTCGTCCGAGCCATCGTCACAGTGCTTGACTCCGTCGCAGCGCTTCTCCGGCGTGATGCACATGCCACTGATGCACTCGAAGTTAGGGGGCTCGCATGCTGGGTGAGGTGGCGGCGGGGTCAAGCGAACTCTTTGGCTCACGCGCGCTTTAAACTCTCGCTTAATATATATGTATATGTATATATATATATATAGATTAGATATATGTATATATATATATATTATATATATATAGATATATATATATGTATATATATATATATGTATATATTATATATATATATATATATATATATATATATATATGTATACACACATATATATATACATATAATATATATATATATATATATATATATATATTATATATATATATATATATATATATATATCCTTTGTCTTCTCTTTTAAGGGGTGGTAAGAGCTAATGCCTTTTATTTTGCTTTTTTTTTTCTTCCCAAGGCAGTGAACTAATGATCATCAGCATCATTCTCATCATGACACCCTCCTTGTTGGAAGCAAAGGTAAGCTATACTTAGAAGCAAGAGTTTAAAGAATTAACAAAAAGAACTGCAACCCGCGTTGTACTACCCTTTTAAGCTAAACATAGATAAACTAAAAACGTTCAGCGTGCAGCATTGTTAATAAAACAAATGATAGACTACGGCTTCAATGACATAGAATCATAAACAAAACTAGAACAATATATATATATATATATATATATATATATATATATATATATATATATATATATATATATGTATGTATGTATTTATATATAATAGCATATATAATCCACACTAAGTGGAACATAAAGGTCTGAACACAGGCAGCTGAATTTAACATGCATCTACTCGTCCTCCTTATCTCATTTCACATCTCAGAGACGAAACATGTCTTATCAAGCAAAAAAATCTTTCGATGCCATAGTAACCTGCCTTCCTCGTCAGTTCGGAATGGTATGGGCATACAAAGATTTATTTTCAGAGCATACAGCTCTTTAGGAAGCATGGAGCTAAACTATAACGAACAATCTCTTTCTCTTTTATATTGAGTAGATTTTGCTATGAATGACTATGAAGATATTCATGCTCCTTTATCATGTCTAAAAAACGCTCATACGCCTCGGGCTTCAAATAGTTTAAGCAACATGAGTACCATAGATACCTGAATACCATCCAAGTTGTTATAATACTGGAAACCTCACTATCCCGAACTCAAGATCCTCTGGGTACACTCTAAAGTGCTCTAAATACCACAGGATTTAGGTCAACCTTTGTACAGACTGGGAAATGTGTGAGACTGAGGTATCCTTTTTTTCTTTTTGTTTCTCGCTTTCTTTATTTTATTTTTTATTTCATTTTATTATTTATTTTTTTGTCTTTATTTATTTTATTTTATTTTTTTGCTCGCGAGTTTGTGTTCCGTGCTCGACCAATAGAATTTGAGGTACTATGCAATTAGCTTAGCTTTAACCATGAAATAATATTAGACTAACTATACAAAAAAAGCTACACAAAATATTTAGACACATCTATTTTATACCAAGACACACACAAAAAAAGGCTACAAAATATGCAAAATATACATATACCAAACTGCATATCAGTAATTCAAAATACTCTCTAGTTTCTTTTGAAGAAAGGGTGAAACTTTACCTGCCACTGCATATTGCAACTGATTCGAAGGGACGCTTTGAGAACTTACAGAGAAATTTTATCTGTCTACCTCTACGTCTCGAGCGGGAAAACCATAATACCCGGTCCTCTCAAGGCCAAATATACAGTGGTACGCGGGCGGGTTAGCATCCATCGCCTAATTCATTCATTCATCTATATGGGCCAACCATCCTGTCTGCGCTTCTCTCACGCCCAAGATGAAAAATAACAATAATAATAAAACCTTAGAATTCCTCAAACTCTCAGAGAAAACGAGACATAATTCCTAGAATGTTATTTATCCATTCATAAGTAATTCCTTAAGTATCCGTTCATAAATAATTCCTTAAATATTATTTATCCACTCATAAGCCTAAAATCCTAAATCCCTTTTTATCTAGACGTCGTAGCACAGGCATCAAGATTCCTATATTAAAAGTGGCAGACAACCCCAGCCATGCCACCATTCTTTTCTATTCAATTTATTTTAAGAGAAGGAGCGACACCCCTTCCGCATTCTGCCAACAAACCCCAAAATAACATCTGACATGACAAAAATTCTGAATCTGACAATATTTACCCTAATGAATAAACTGGCAGCGCTCTCTCTTTGATATGACGAAAATCAATGTGAAATCTCTAGGAATTTCGTACAAGGAGGGATTGGTGTAATAATTCGTACATGATTCGGGTTTCTGCATCGAAGCTAATGAATCCACAAATAACAAACAAGAAAACTTCTAGAACAATAAATATTCTCCATTTACACTTACAATGGATACCAGTGTCATTTTCCCTCTTTTCTAACCATTTTTTTTCCTTTTTCTTTTTTTTTGGGGGGATGGATTCAGCGGTTGACAGCAACGGGGTTAAAATACTTATTATATCCTAAAACCTAAACAACTCCAGCCATTATTTAGCTGCTGTGCGAGCCTACGCGCCGCTGAAACACACCCACATCTTCACTAAACCTCTACGTGACCTACACCCAACACAAGTTTATCTCCCCTTCCTAGAGGCTAAAATGGTGCCAAACAAGGTATGGCTAGATTAGCTTAGCTTATTTCTATTTATTTATTTATTTATTTTTCAACCGGACACCAAACCTCTTTACCAGTTCATCTATCCTACGATAATATCCTTGACTTCCATTCTTTCCTCATCTTCAACTCTTGTCATTCATATTTCGACACAAACTTTTAGTAATCTACATTTCTTTTTTTTTTTTTAAGTAATCTACATTTTTTTTTTTTTTTTTTAGTAATCTACATTTTTTCTTCTTCTTTTTTTAGTAATCTACATTTTTTCTTTTTTTTTTTTTTTTTTAGTAATCTACATTTTTCT